CGAGTCTGATAGAAACCTCAACAGAATGCAGGAAGCACTGGACGGACGTTTCGTTCTATATCGCATCCACTACCGAGAATTGAAACCCTGACAGGTTGTCAAGCAAACATCATGCCAACTGTTCTAATGGGCCTCGGTGACGAAGAGATTGCAAATCAGACTCAACATAGCGCCGCTCGCTCACATATTCCGTCGGGGAACCATACTGCGTTCTTTGTAACCATAGGACTGTGCCCCCTGGAGCCAGGTCTGATTTGCAATCTCGTGGATGCGCACTACTGATGGCTCCCAAATATCGGACGAAACGGCCGTCCAGTACTTTCTGCATTCTGTTGAGGTTTCTATCAGACTCGATGAATTAATTAAATATAATTATCAAATCCTCCTAATAATTAATATATATATATATATATATATATATATATATATATATATACGTGTTAGTGTGCGTGTGTTTTAGTAACAATAATAAAGACTGTATTCCGATAAAAATGAATATAACAGGACGATTTTATGGTACGCTTACAGCCCTATCACGTTGAAGCATCGTTTCCTGTACGATCACCGATGTTAAGCAACGTCGAGCTTGGCCAATATCAAGATGGGTGACCGCTTGGGAATACCAGATGCGGTAAGCTTGGATATGCGGGTGGTGTAATGGATAATAGCTCGGATTTGTTAATTGGAGAGCCAAGTTCCAATTCCCGTAGAATTCGCTAGATTCACTTACGCACAAATAGCCTCGAGAAAGATAAAAATACACCTCTTCATCTCCCCAGCTATGGGATAATTAGTAAGACTTGCACTATTTACATTATTCGGACTATTGTCCTCATCTTTGTCACCATATTTATTACAAACTTTCGACCGTTGTACGCTCCGGCTTTCTTCAGGAGGTTGGAATGTCGAACTGAACCCTTTATTTCGCTCACTGGGGTAGACTGTTCTAGTTCCACGTGTCATGTTTAATGGACGGCAGTTATCAGGTATCTCCTGTTACTTCCCCTTTCCAAGTTCTCCACTACCTTAAGCGGATATTGAACTCACACATGGCACAATGGATAGATGCGTTAGTTAGATCCATTGACATGACCCAAAGGAAGTATCTGACTCAATCTGTCGTTTTTTTATTTTTACAAATGTCATATTCAACCAAGTATGAAATATTGCACTCTCACCTATCAAAATTGTGTCTAATCAGTTCTCGTTATCCCGCCTCGATTGTGTCCAAAATCGTTTTCGTCGTCCACTAGACAGTACCTTACTTTACAGTCTCTATTTTCTTTTATACGGATATTTCTCTCAGGTACGTTTGTGACGATCGTCATTTTAAACATTTTTAAAAAACAGTTTTAAATATAGGTCTGCATTTGACAATAATCAGAAACACACACACATATTAATATCTTACATCGAGTTCACCCCAAGCAAGGTCATAAATTTAATGAGACAAGGGTTTACTGGGTGTGAAAGAGTTAGAAACAGGAATATTTCTAAAGTTGAACCGACCAATGAATACACACACAAATTTGAAATAAACAATTCTCTATCTTTCCTCGACATCTTATTAATACGCAACAATAAGAAATTGGATTTTAAAGTTTATCGTAAACCTACAAACAAAAACGATCTAATCAACTTCTATTCCCACCACAACCAAAAAATAAAATCTGGACTAATCAGAAGATTCTACCTCAAAGTCCTTAGCATATATAGCCCCGAATACCTAAATGAAGAAGAGAAATATATTGAGAAAACATTCAAGTTTCTACACTACACATATCATATTATCCACAACCCTAAAAAACGAGTTTACAAAATCTACAAATACAATGAACCAGACAATACCAATAAAACTTCTAACAAAAAATACACAAAACTCATAGTCTTGCTCCCCAATAATCTTTCTACTAAACTCACAAACAAATTAGTCATCACTAATGCTAGGATAGTTACCAACACTTCCAAGACAATTGAAGATGTTATTAGGAAGAAAAATAAACACAACACTAATTCAAATGCCGGAATTTATCAAATTCACAAGGCAGAAATATTTATGTGGAGGAAACGTCAAGGGATCTGAAATCCCACGTGTAGGAACACAAGAGAGACTTACGTTTGGACAAATGATCTAACTCTCTCGTTTTTCATAGAAACGATGCTGGACATAACTTTGGTGTTGATGTCACCCTAATTAAAAAGAACATAATTCTTTAAGGGGAAATGCATTGAAAACTTAATAATAAAGGTATTAACAACTATAAACACAGATTTAATACATCAAATTACATCGCCATCTTTCTTTGAGTATCATTCTTCAAAAATGTAACATATCTATCTAAGAATACAAGATTAAAGAGATCAGACACAAATTAGAATTATTTGACACCCTCTGCGCTGGCTGATCGCACATAGGGGAAGACATCGGAACTTCCACTAGACAAACACACATACAGAATTACGAATATACATTACTATTCAATGCCCACTTAGACATACAAGAATCTCCACAAACTTATATACAGATGGAATTATCTACGGTTTTAAGGATCAATAAAAACTGAGCCAAACATAATTGAAAATAATAGTGTTATCTTTCTGTTTGTCTGTTTTCTCTTAATCCCTGACGAAGATTTAATAAAAGTGACATATGTTATATTGATGTATGTTTTCATATTTGTTCTTTATTTTATCATCCTGTCGAATTTCGATCCGCATTTGATCTTTATTTATTTATATATATATATATATATATATATATATATATATATATATATATATATATATATGTATATATATATATATATATATATATATATATATATATATATATATATATATATATTAGTCTTAAGAGTTAAAATTTATGGGAATTTTAAATTTCCTCACACGAAAATTTGAGGCTCCTTCAAAAAATGAATTTTCAGGCTCCTTTAAAAAAAATAAATTGTCTATTACTAAATAAGAAAAAATTCAAACTAGACTTTTCGGTTTCAAGATTTAGCCTGTTTCTAAATTTTTCAAAGGTTGATAAGTCGTAAATAACAAATCAAGCAATCACAATCTCAAGTTTTAACTCAGATCAGTTACTTCTAATCTGACTTACACGTCAGATTGCGGCAGCATTTACTTCCATACACACATTTTCTGGACAATTTTTCAGATGTTTTCCTTATTTTATAATCTGAATTTCATGCAAAGATTTAAATTTCGCTATCAGGCAGAAATCTCAACACACACACGTACGCATACACATATACACACACACAAACACCCACATGAATGGATGTGTGTGTATGTATGCATGTACATGCATGATTTTTAAGCAACTTTTCTGTACACAAATATGATGGAATCTTAAGCAAGTCCTATACTGACATGATTGTGATTTAAACATGAAAAAAATGGAAAAAATCAGGACAAACGTAATATAAAATGAAAGAGTAAATACTGTCAATTTTGTACTGTATTCAATAAGTGAACCAATTTCTTCCTTTTCCATTTATAAGAACTAAACATAAAAAAGCTAGGCAAGCATTTAAGTAACTTTAGTTCTAACCCCCAAATTTAATCAAATCATGTACTGGTCGAAATCATTAGTTGTTTATAAAAATCGTATATATACATATATATATATATATATATATATATATATATATATATATATATATATATATACAGGTTGTCTCTACGAAAAAATGCATATTTTCAAGAAATGACGTTTTCAGTAACATTTTATTGAATTGGAATATTAACTAATAACATCTTCAATATGATTTCCAACATTTGTGATGGAAAAGTTGATACTCTTTCTAAGATTCACGTGAACTCAATGCAATAACTCCTTGCTGTCGTGTATTTTAAAACATTAACTCTTTGTACATTCAATCAAGTGTGTTGCATCTTTGATTTTCATTGAGTTGACCTTCTCCTGTAGCATACCGCAGAAAAAGAAGTCAAGAATTTAGGGTCACTATATATATATATATATATATATATATATATATATATAAATATATACAGTGTAACCCGGATATAAGAGAGTTGTCGGGACGGGAGAAGGAGTCTCTTATATCCGGGTTTCTCTCATATCCGGGTTTGGTCTATTTTATATACATTAACACAGGCTCTAATTTGGGACCAGAGAAAATCTCTCTTATATCTGGTTTCTCTTATATCCGGGTCTCTTATATCCGGGTTACACTGTATATATGTATACACACACACACACGCACACAGACACACACACATATACATATATATATATATCGTGAGAGAGAGAGTGATAAATGTCAAGGCGACCCATATGGCTCTCAAGCCACATTTTGGCTACCCTTTCTCTATAAAAAGCCCAAGAGCTACTCAAGGTCTGAAGTCTTGCAACGTTTCATCTTTAAAAAAGGAATTCTTATATGTAAAACACTCATATGGCCACGTATACGTTTTTGGGCTCCATCAAGCCTGAGAAGTGAATATTGGAGATCTCCATACCAGATATACACAATTATGGCTCTTATAAACTTAGAGTATATCAGAAAGAGTTAGGTACTTACTGAAGTGGTGCAAGAAAGCAACAATTTTTACCTGCATTATTAGCGATGGATCTGATCTGCTTGTTCCATTTAGTTGATCTTAAGTCGCAACAGGCGTTCAAGGCAAGGAGAAACTTGAGAAAACACATGCACATTGCAATAAATCGAAATTTAGGGTCTGCTGGGTAATGGGATCAACCAGTTTCTCCTTCACTGAATTGTTAAAACTAATTCAAAGCGGAGATCACTTTCCAGGTGCTAATTATCTGGAATTTTGGAGGTGTATTCAGATACCGTCGTTTAATCTGTATAAATATTCCCAATGTTCGTAGTCATATCATTATTATAAAACATGAAGTTGGTTGAACCAGAAAATGGATTTTTATTAATCATTTTTATTAATGACTAGCAGTAGAGCCCGGCGTTGCCCGGGGATATAACAGTAAGAGATAGATCCACCATCATAAAGACTGAAAAATAAAATTGACAAAGATTATTGTTTAAGGTTGACAGACACGCATGTCTTAATTAGTTTTTTTTTTTACGAATTGGTCAAACCCAAACTCAAACAAAAACATTGTTTTCAATCCTTATGAGTCTCCCGATTGAATAGAATAATTTTATAAACAATTGTCTTGTAAATGGAATTTTTAAAGCATTCTGAATGTAAAAATAAAGAAAAAAGTGTGCAAGACAATAAGAAACACTACATGCCAAAAAAAAAGTAAAGTTTTGTTGAAATCGGTTGAAAAATGTAGGTAGCCTTTCTGTAATATTTTAGTTTTACAATTTATGATTTTTACTTATTAAATACAGTAAAAAAATTGCATATTTTGCTTGTGGTGATTCATAATTAGAATTCTGACTTGAATATATTTTCCACTCGTTGTTTCTAATACAAAAAATATTAACTTTATTTGGGTTTATTAATTATGATCTAACAAATCTTATTCATTTAGTAGCCTTTCTGTAATAATAATCTTTTAAAATTTATGATTTTTACATATTGAATACAGTAAAAAAATTGGACAACATGTGTATTTAAAGTAGTTTCCCGTTCCGGTTATTATTTTTAGTTAGGACTTGTGTATATATAGATTTCATTATCTTTCCCTAAAGATAAAGAATTTATTCCGATGTTTGTATTCGTACAATCAGTAGAGATCGTTAGATTATTGTTTAAGGTTGACGGACACGCATGTCTTAATTAGTTTTTTTTTAGGAATTGGTCAAACCCAAACTCAAACAAAAACATTGTTTTCAATCGTTATGAATCTCCCAATTGAATAGAATTTTATTATAAGTATTTGTCTTGTAAATGTAATTTTTAAAGCATTCTGAATGTTAAAAATAAAGAAAAATGTGTGCAAGAGAATAAGAAACACTACCTGCCAAAAAAAAAATATCTAAAGGAACACACACACACAAACAACCCGATGTGAGTTGTCCCCCTTCCATTTTCACGATGTCTCTTAATCGTGTTTTCAAGTTGATTTTATGCAAAAACAATTATGTTTCCTATTTTTTGGCGCTGTTAGAACCACCACAAAGTAATTTTATGTAGTCCTGTGAAGTTTTGTTGAAATCGGTTGAAAAATGTAGGAAATCCGATCCAATATATAAACGCACACACACACACAATCTGCGTTTTATAATAAGTAAGATTTTAATAATTTAAGCTTTAGTTTTAGTGGATACTCGTATTTGAATAGAGGCTCCATTTATTTATACTGGTCTGAAGGTTCGAGAAATCCACACACACACACGCACACACACACACACACACATATATATATATATATATATATATATATATATACATATATATACACATATACACACACACATATATATGTGTGTGTGTGTGTGTGTGTGTGATTATTTATTCGAAAATGATAATATAAGTATGTTACAAAATCACTACAAAAATATCCATTTTGTTTCAACACAACTTGTGTTTTATCTTATTAATGTTTCAGGTGATTTTTATGACACTTTCTTATTTGTGTTATCGCCATTTGTCTAAATCATCGAAGCCAAGACATTGGTTTTGATTATTGAATCTAATTAGTCTTCCGACTTATATATATATATATATATATATATATATATATATATATATATATATGAGTTGAAAATCAGGTGTAGATCAGATATGGATAGGTATCCGCCAAGATGATAAAATCAAATAGAGAACATGTAGGAAACGTATCTCGATCTAAAATGATTTACTTTTATTAAAGCTTCGTCAGATATCGAGATACAAATGGAAAAAAAAGCAAAGAGACAGAGTACTGGAATGTCACGATTCTTGTTTCTTTCTTATTGGTCAGATACACGTCATGTGGTATAAATGCAATAGATAATATATAAATATGTGTGAGGGAAATTTCGTTCGTTAAAATGTGTGATAATGTAAGAGTATCTATGTAAAGAAACACCTGTTTGTCTAGGTGTATGTGGACGGTAACTGTAAATCATGTAAGTATATAAGTGTATGTGAGGAATGTCTAGAGATATCATTATCGTTTATGTCGGGGTGGGAACTTCTGTGGTCACCTCTGTGTGTCTCGGTGAGATTAAGATATTTTAATAATCCAGTTTTGGTTTGTACTTATCACTAAAGCATCTCTCATTCGTATATTTCAAAAAGAATTTGTAATTTTTCATTATTTTATGTATTAGATAGACATAAGTTAGAATCATGAATAAGGGATCCATATAAAATGAGAGAGTTAGAATGTCTGTCTGAGCGCAAGTCTCTCTTGTGTTCGTAGATCCGGGTTTTTAGATCATGTGATGTCACTCCCACATGAATTTTGTTTCACTGAAGACATTTTATCTGATAAATTTCAACATTTGAAATGATGTTTGTTTTATTTTTCTTCATGTTTATATTCCCGATTATTTTGGAGGTGTTAATGATCCTAGTTTTAGGGATATCTAATTCGTTTGGGAGTTTATACGAAAGAATGTTGGAGGGAAAGATTTTGTGTAAATTTTCGTAGTATCTCTTTTTTTTCTGGCTCTATGGATTTTGTAAGCTTGTTTGTAGGATGAAATGGTGTGCGTAGTGGAGACGTTTGAATATTTTCTCAATATATTTCTCTTCTTTTAGGTATTCAGGGCTGTATTTGTATACGTATATATTAAAGAAGAAAGCCGTTGATGGAACTAACAGATAACTTTCCAAAACCTAAGACACTTATCCAGATATAATCTTGAACAAACATAAATGAAACAAGAAAAAGAAACAAAAAACGTCTAAAGGCAAACTTACTTCCTTCGAAAAGTGCTCGAAGCGTAGATTGCCTAGGAAAAAAACAAAAAACGCTTAACAACGCTAAATTTTATGAAAGGATGTCCCTAGTCATAACCGGAGTTTCCCTCTCATACAATCTTCAGACGTGAGTCGTCTGAAGATCATGTTACATCTAGGACTATCCTTTAATCGAATATATATATTTCTCCGTGCAACGATAGCCTAGGGGTAAGGTATCTAACTGATGCTAAATCGGCCGGATTTCGATCCCGGCTTGAAGCAATCGGACGTTTAGCAACACTGAGGAGCTGTGATACATATATATATATATATATATATACAAAAATAAATATATGTTAGGGATCTAAAAAACAAATAAAATTTTAAACAAGAAAAAATTAAAAACCAAGAAAGAAGAAAGTACAAAAAGGCAAACCTATGCAGAAAATAACAGTGATCAAGGCTATGCAAACATAGCAAATAAAACACTTCACAGAGTCGTCCTCAACGAGGCACAGTTGGAGTCGCTACTATAGTTGTCTCGCGATCTTCAGAAGGGAAAGGAAAGGAAGGACTTAGAAATTATACCCAAGCAGCGTAATACGACCTAACCTATGGCATCACGGGGAAAAAAAGTTATATTAATCGTTCTCGCGTTGAAAAAGAGAGGAAAAACACACGTTTACATGTTCGTGCGGATGTGAATGCACATATTATTTTATTTACTGAGGATTCCCTTCTTTATCATTTTTAATATTCATTATCGAAGTAAAGCCTTCTGTTCATGTCCATGTTCATTCCAGATAATACTACTCATATTTGCCGATCTAATAGCAAATAAAAAAAAAACTATACTATATCCATTGACACTTTTGACAAACGGCAGTCAGGCATTATCTTTCAGTATCGAATGAGGTTGAACACAAATAAAGCTTTATGCGTGATAAACCATCTTTGAGAAGATCTGTTGGTCAGGATTTACACTAGCCGGCCAGTTTGAAAAGATCCTTGATTCCATTCAGTTACCGCCTCTCGCCCTTGTCACATTAAGCGGACTCTTTCATACCTATACCCCAATAAAATAAGGAGAATTGGTAAAGTAAGCACTTGATCTGACGGAGTGTCTAAAGCAAATAACAAGAGTACTTGGAGAGAAGTAGCATTGTCAAGAAATCTTTGGGTGCGGCTGGCGTGACGTGTGGGGGAAGATGACGTGAATCCTTTGAGTGACAGCTACAAAACAAAATTGTCAGCACTGGATTGAAAGAAGAACAGAAAGCCTTATTTGGCGTTGGTTTTGGAAAATGAAGCTAACGCGAACCAACAATTTATTTTAATCAGCCAGTACATGGCTGTCAACGTCAAACAGTTTGCAAAGACCACCCCTACCCTATCTATCTATCTATCTATCTATCTATCTATCTATCTATCTATCTATCTATCTATTCTTTCCTTCTGTCTCCATCTCTCTCTATTGTTTCGTGTGTGCATGCTGCTATTTGTATATATGACTCGCCCGTATACGAAATATCTTGGGCCCTTTAAGAGACAATTCATCCATCTCTGTAAGGGAGACATGAAAATGAAATAATGGCCGTGATAGACCGGTGAAGTTTGGATTTATTTTAATTAATTCACCCCAAGCAAGCGACAATGCCACTAAGATGGGTGTGAAAAAGAATGACAAAATATTTTAGAAATTATCAGAAACCTAATCCTAAACAAGAATCAAGGGATAAACCTCAACTCCTGTTCAAATGATCGAAAATTGTGAAGCGAACGATAGCGAACCCGTCTACTCCTAGTGATGAAAAATAAATAAATAATAAATAAATTTCAGAGAACAAGCAGAAACGTTTAGAGCTGAAGTAAGCTTTAAAAGGAACCGGAAAATCAACCCAAAACAGGAATAGGGGATAAAACTTTATCCTGTTCAAAAGAAACTTTAACGATAGACAGACCATCGTCTTACGGTCTTCTCTCAGGTCTTATGCACTCGTTCTTTCTTAAGGAAGATATTTCATCACTTCTTGTTATTCCTTATATAAAGCGACACATTTTAAAGAATACAGAGACGGGTCTATCACCCAACATCTACATCCTTTTACGTGGCGTGTTTAGTAAGCATGCGGGTGATCATGACTGTACACCGCTTCTTATAACTTGTAACACGAGACAATGTTAGTCTCCTTAGTATCCCTCTCAA